AAAAAAAAAAAAAGCGAGGTTAAGCCACTACTATCTTAACTATTGAGTTACACTCGAATTGATTTTATACCGGAGGTCTGACGTGACGAATGAAAAAGATCTAATTTAGCAATCAATTTTCCGAGTAAAATTGTCTAAAGGTTTGTTTTGTCAAGAATAGTAATGGTAAAAAATTAATTTACATTCCTTTTACAACATTATTGCAAAGATAATTTTCAATTAATTAATTTTTTAAAATACATTATTTAGAACTAATTATATAAAACCAATTAGTTACCATTTTTGTCTATACCGATATGTGAATGGATATTAAAGAGTGGAGGAAATATTTACGATTATATTTTAAATATATTTAGAAATTCTGGATTTGACATTTACCAAAGTTTTCTTTGACTGAAAATAGAAAAATAATTAAGATGCGTTGAAAATAAGTGAAAGCTGCTTAGAATAATCTTTTGTGGTACTTTGAAATTGAAATTCAAGAATTATATTTCAATATAAAAAATATAATTTCTAATACTTGTCGTTTTTTTTTCTTCTGGTCCCATGATTTTCTTTTCCCATGCAAACATTTTCCTTATTTTAAACGATGCTTGAATTGGTCATTTCTTTTTCATATTTTAATAAATATTTATAATTTCTAAACTTAAAATTCAGGAAAATAATAATAATAATGATAATGATAATAATAAAGGTAATGAATTGTCTCGTATTTATTTTCTGAGTTCTCGATTTTCAAATTAATTTTTTAAAGATTAATTTACTATTAGGAAAAATTCATCGAGTTTTCTCATTAAGAAAATAATTATCAGTAAAATATTATTAAAAAAATAATTGTGAAGTGTATAATTTTTAAAAGCTCCGTTAATGAATTGATTCGAGGACAATAATAAATTATTCCTCAGTTTAGCAGTAATTGTTGATTTGATTAATTACTAATAAATGCCTGTTTTGCCGTTATATTTACCATTATTCTTTTTATTCTTTACTTATACTAACCCTAATATATATATATATATATATATATATATATATATATATTTTTTTTTTTTAATTATGTAGTTCTTTCACATGTGCAGTCCATAATTTAGAAAACTTTTTTTTTTAAATCTAATCTAAATTCTACAACCTTAAGAAAAATATGGTAAACAAGGGCATCACGATGAAATATTTTTGTTTTTCAATAATTACGAAAGGTCGAATTATTCATTTGCCTAAAAAAAAGTTGAAATATTCATATTTTTAACCTTTTTTTTTAACACACATGACATGTGAAGGGAATTTGAACTCGGGATCTTTTGATTGGAGATGGGTGACTCAATTAAGCTAAACTTTGACATATTTTTAACTATTATATCAATTTAGTCTCAATACTATTACTAATTTCATTACAATCCTCGTTCTTAACTTGGACATTTTGTCTTATCACAAGGTTTGACATGTTGTATTAATTGAAAATTATGAACCTTGAGTTAAGTTATAATAATTGTACTAAAAAAAGTTATGTTAGAATAAATTGTTTGGTAGAAAAATAAAAAGTAGTTAAAGTTAATCTTGATTTAAAGTGGAGCTATGGCAACCAATAATATATACCTATTTTTATCATTTGAGTAAAATATATAATGGACCAAAAGATTAAAAGTTCAAATCTCCATTCCACATGTTTGAACTCAAAGGACAAAAAAAAAAAAAAAAGTTAGTTTAGTTTTTACTTCTTACTACCAAATTGCTAATATATTCTAATTAAAATATAGAGACTAAAACCATACTTATATTATTTCATGAGCTTCTCTTTACGAATTTTCTAAATTAATTGAGATTTATGAATACCGATTTATATTGTGAAATTCAATGGTGGAGGCTTTCAAATTTGATATAATGTCGTTTCGTTATCAGTCTCCTAATTAATGGACTAACGTAGTCAAACTTCAGAAAAAGCCTAACATATAATATATATATATATATATTTTGACAATTACGTAATTGACTTAACAGTTGTTTCGAATTTTTCTTTCAAAAATTTAATTTGATTGGATACTCATGTTAGGCTTTCAAAATTTTAAATGTTTGATAATAATACAAGAAATATATATTAAAATTTCGAACTCTATGAGAGAAAATTCCATTGACTGAAGAGTCCAATAAATTATATTTTTCCTGATATTGGATAAAAGTATGAAAATAGGATAGAGAGGCCAAATCAACCTAATCTACTGACCACTCCAAGGGAAAACCTAACTTTGAAAGGAATTTGGCATCTTTGAATGGTAGAAAATTCATATAGGATTGTAATTATATATTTTATTGATCAATCAATCAATATTAAGACTAAAAGTATAAGCTAAATTGCAAATTTAGCATATAAACTTCAAAGTTTTATCTAATTAGTCTCTAAACTTTCAATTTTATGTCTAATAAATCCATAAATTTTGAAAAGTGTTTAATAAATGAACTTGTAAAAAATCTATTAAATATAAAATTAAAAAAGTTTAAAGACTTATTACATATTTTTTAAACACAATCTTAAAAGTTAATAAATCAAACTTATAATTTAACAGCTCAACTCTACTTTTAACTATTAATCGCATTAATTCGAGACATCAAAACAACAAGAAAAGTCTGCAAATCCAAGGGACCAGAATGCAATAATTGAAAGATGGGTTTCGTTTCCTTTTTTTTTTTTTAAAGGTGATGGTGTATTCAACTAGAATCCATCCCTACAAATAAAGAAAATGCAAAACCTAATCACCAAATTCACTAGGCAAAATCAGTTAAGAATATGAACCACACTGAATAAATATTTTCAGGCAAGGTTTGAGAGCCCTACCTCAAGAATCTGACGAAGCATTTCTCTGGTTCCTGCACTCCCTTCTTAGCCCCCAAACATGCTTGCAAAAGCCCACTATACCACTTTTTGAGATGCTCAAACTGTTGATACAAGATCTGACTGTTAAAAGCCGCGGCCGTTATATGATTGTCCAAAACAAGGAGACATTTTCTTGGCTCTTGATGGGGCATTATATACAGGATGACACACGCACCAAAATCAACAGGTCCTGTTGTCTGAAATATGTTCTGTTGGGATCTCACTCTCAGTTCGTTTCTAGGTTGGGGGTGCAAAGCTTCTCTATGAAAGAAGGGTTAGCGAAGTACTAACATGAGAAAGGATCGGTATAGAGCTTTGTTTAGTCTGATAGCATCTCTTCCAATTCAGGTTCCTCAGAATTCATTGCATCATAATCCAATCCCGTTGTGTTGAATGGTCCTTTATCTTGAAAATCAACTTGTTCCTCCTCTTCATCCAAGTCGGGCCATTCTGGTTCGTAATCATTGTTTGGTTCATCTACTGTCGTGGTTTCGTCTCTCCTTGGTGTAATATCACTCTTCCCATACTTTCTGGGTGCTGGATCAGACTTTACATGAGGCTTAGCATCTTCACATATACAAGCCGATGGGTTTTCATGAAATTCACCCCTGCCTGGCCTCACCTCATTTGGCTCCCCCATGAAGCCTCTCTGATAAGTTCTAACTTTAGAGGAAAATGCTCCCCATGTCATGTTGTTTCTGTTCAAGAACAACCTATAGAGTTTTTTGGCATTTGGACGAATGGTAGGCTTGTGTCCGAAGTACCTTCTGCAATAGAATTGAAATTTTGGAAAGTTATTCATCAGATAAGAGTTCATAAAATATGTGCTTGTGGGCATTTGTTTTTCTTCTTCTTT